GTATTTAGAGACGACAGTTTAAGCACCAGGGGTGTTCATTGCTAGCTGAGTGTTTATTTTTTAATCAGTTTTGGAGTTTATATTTTAAACACATTTTGTTGCTGATCAAATTAAAGTGGTATTTCATATCATTTTGGGAGTCACAGGCTACATTAAAAATCTAATAAAAGTGAAATGCTCTCTTTCCAGAGACATGTTCCTGTGTTCAGACACAACAATTTTGCCCAAAATTCCAGTTCACAGACCCACCCTATAACCCGTACCTGGACTCCGGGGTCCATTAGACTGTTGACTGGGGTCCATAATGATGGAGGAAGACTTGAAAGGACTGGAAATAACCAATTGGCCCCAAGTAAAAGCAGCAAGTGGGAAAGTTAATGGGTCTTGCAATATCCAACCCAGGAGAAGAGAGGTTAGTAGTGGTCATAGCCCAGACTCTGCACTGGTCACACTAACAATGGAGATCTAGTCTTATCAAGGAAGGAACATAATGACCAAGTTTTGTTCCTTGGTGAAGAATCACTAGATAGAGCAAGGTCCATTTAAGTGTTGGAAAGAACCTTCTAATAATCAGGGCTTTAGTGACATACCTGATGGATGATAGTCACAGGTAGGCATACACTTTGAAATTCTTTGCGCCTAATTACAACTCCACTTCTTTTCACCCACTCAAATGTTTATTTCCGTACACCAAGTTCTTTGATATGGATAACACTGAATAAGTTTTTTTTTTCTTTTAAGTCTTTCTCAGATATGCAGTCACTGTGATATAATAGGGAGAGCCTGAGCTTTCAGAAAGACTTGGATTCAAATCCTTGTTCCACAAGTTACTGCTGAGTTCCTACTGGCTCTGAGCCTCCCTTTCTTCTTCTATAGAACAGAGTCGCATCTGGCCCACTTCAGAGGTTCTCAGGTTGTATAATGCCGTGGTACACAGTAGGTGCCCACCAACAGTTAGTTTCCCTGCATTGTCTCCAGCTTTGAGAATCTGAGACCATGCCTCTGATGATTCAGCTCTTGGTCTGTTTTCCTTTTCAAGGTACAAAGTTCTCTTTTTTTTTTTTTTGGCGAGGAAGATTAGCCCCGAGCTAACGTCTGTTGCCAATCCTCCTCTTTTTGCTGAGGAAGATTGGCCCTGGGCTAACATCCATGCCCATCTTCCTCCACTTTGTATATGGGATGCCACCACAGCATGGCTTGATGAGTGGTGCGTATGTCCATGCCTGGGATCCGAACCTGTGAACCCTGGGCTGCTGAAGCGGAGCACGTCAACTTAACCCCTAAGCCACTGGGCCAGTCCCAACAAAGTTCATTTCTTTTTTTTTGTGAGGAGGACTAGCCCTGAGCTAACATCCGATGCCAATCCTCCCCGTTTTTCTTGAGGAAGACTGGCCCTGGGCTAACATCCGTGCCCGTCCTCCTCCACTTTATGTGGGGCCCCGCCACAGCATGGCCCAGCAAGCGGTGCATCGGTGCGCGCCCGGGATCTGAACCTGCGAACCCCAGGCCACTGCAGCGAGCACGCGCACCTAACTGCTGTGCCACCGGGCCAGCCCCAACAAATTTCATTTTTTAAAAATGAAATTTTATTTTGAGATAATTGTAGATTCACATGCAATTTTATGAAATAATACAGAGATCTCATGTACCTTTCACCCAGTTTCTCCCAGTGGTAACACCCTGCATAATAGCACAATAGCACAACCAGAAAATGTAATCCATCAGCCTTATTCAGATTTCACCATTTTCACATGCACTCACTTGTGTGTGTGTGTTTAGTTTTGTGCAGTTTTATCACATGGGGATTTGGCAAAGTTCATTTTTAAAATCAAGGTTTCTGTTTCTGTCAGAGTCTGAGGGTTTCCATGTAAGAAGAATGAAGTTTTAGGAATTTGGAATTTCAGAGGTGTCTGTTAGTTAACATGGTTGTGCCCTTGGAACAAGTTTTTTTCTTGTGGTATCCTTCTCCTTCTTCCTTTTTATTCTTTTCACCTAATGAAAGTAGTTTGTTTATTGTAATCATAAAATTCAGGCAACTTACACAGAAAAGTATAAAGAAGAAAATAAAAAATACCTAAAATCCCAACTCATGGAGAAAAATATTGTTAGAATTTTGGTGATCATCCTCCCCACATATATTTTATCGTGCATGCTGTTCTATATAATGCTTTTTCCAAGTTGTATAATGCTATCTTTCCATGTTAATATAGACTTATTTTTAATAAATAAGTTTTAATAAATAATTTGATATCATTTTAATAGTTACATAGCCTTCCACTCTATGAATAAACCATAATTTGTTCATGCCCTATTTTTTTTTCTCTTCTAACTACACTTCAGTGAACATTCTTATACATTTAAATTTGTGTCCAATTATTTCCTAAGAATAAATTGTTAGAAGTGGAATTGATGAGTCTGACAGGTATCTACATATAAAATGTATATACCTTTTCCACACTGACCTACCACACAGTAGTGTGTGAGGCTGCCCATTCACCTACATGTTGATCAACAGTAGATATTATTAAACTTCTAAGCCTTTGAAATTTAATAAGTAAAAAAAAAAAGATATAATTTCTACCTTTTATTTTTAAATATCTTTATTGTTTTTGCTGATTTTAAAAGTATTACACTGGGCCAGCCCCAGTGGCCTAGTGGTTAGGTTTTGTGTGCTCCACTTCGGCAGCCCAGGTTCGGTTCCCAGGTACAGACCTGCATCACTCATCTGTCAGTGGCCATGCTGTGGTGGCAGCCCACATATCAAAAACAAAAAAAAAGAGAAAGATTGGCAGCAGATGTTAGCTCAGGGCGAATCTTCCTAAGCATAATAATAATGATAAATAAATAAATAAAAGTATTACACGCCTGTTATAATGAGTTCAAACAAAACAGAAATTTTAGAGTGAAAAATCACCCCATCTTTCTCCCCCAAGATACAGTCACTATTGTTTGATATATACCCTTAAGTATAGATTTTTTTATTTTACAAATGGACTATATCTTACTAATCTGTACCTACTTTTCGTTAACACATTTTGGACTTTTTTCCATATTAGCACATGCAACTATACTCCCTTTTTTTAGTCATTTACATAGGAATCTATTATATTGATAAAATATTATTTTGAAAAAAATATTATTTTGGCATTTCCACTTTTTTCCCCATAATTGTGAACCATATGAACATAAATTTTTGCCTACTTGTCCATTTATTTCCTTATACCAAGTGCCGCGAAATGGAGTTGTTGGGTCAAAGGATTTGCATTTCTTAAGGCATTTGATATATGTCAGAAAGGTTAACTCAGTTTCAGTCTCATCATGGGGTATAAAGAATGCTTATTTTCCACATGTTTGGTAATATTCAGCACTTAATTTTTAAATGTTTACCAATAAGATAGGTAAGAGAGAGATTTCTTCTTTTGTGACTTGCCTGTTCATATTCTTTACCCACTTTTCTATTAGATTGTTTACCTTTTTCTTATTGACTTGGATGAGCTTATTATATGTTAAAAATACCAAGCCTTTGTCCGTTTAAATTTTGATGTACGAAGGTTTTTAATTTTTATGCAATTAAATCTTTTAAGTGTTGTGGGTTTTATATCTTGCTTAGAAGGACCTTTCCTGATAGTTTAATATTTTCCTCTATTTTATTTTACCTCTTTATTTTTTTTATTATTATTTTTTT